GCAAACTTTATTTATATACCCCAGCGACTTAAGACTTAAGTGCTCCAGGGTCACATTTGAGTTTGATTACAATTAATGACTTCAATTTTTTTATAGTAGAAATATTTGAACAAAATATTATTTTTTTTCAATAAGAAATTATAAATGAATACTATTAAAAAATAGTTGATAAAAAATACTAAATAAGGTTTTTGTAAGAATTGATTTTTTTGTCGTATTTAAGGACAAATTTAAAGTTAATTTTAATTTATAAATTGCATCTTCATAATAGAAGAAGTATGCTCAGGCAACTGTATGTCTGAAAAGCATTTTTCGTGTCTTTTTTAGAAGAAAAAAAAAAAACAGCTCATAAATGATCAGCTTGTTCCGTTTTTGAAAAGGGCCTTCAAAGGTTTGAGACACAAAGATTTTTTTTTTATGCTATTTTTGAAAAATCATGCTTTTATTAATCAAGGATGCATTATCTGCAATGTTTTCAACATTGATAATAATCAGAAATGTTTCTTGAGCAGCAAATCAGCATATTAGAATGATTTCTGAAGATCATGTGACACTGAAGACTGGAGTAATGATGCTGAAAATACAGCTGCACATCACAGAAATAAATTACACTTTAACAAATATTCACATAGAAAACAGTTATTTTAAAGTGTAATAATATTTCACAATTTTTACTGTATTTTTGATCAAATAAATGCAGCCTCGGTGACCTTTGAATGATACTGTATCATGTGCCATTGTACCATACTACCACAATATAGTTTTGTAGCTCTACTACACACCTCTGTAACCATATTTAAATGTAGATAAATCAATGTAGAGATAACTGTCCAAAAAACAAGTTCTACATCCTCTCAGAGATGAAGGTAGGTCAAACGTGATTACTGCTACTACGAAAGGCAAACAAACCAACAAACAAAACAACCTTTGGTACGTCACACATACACACACACACACTAGTGTGAACAGCTGTAAAAACGGCTTTCTGATGGCCTGTGATCTGCACACACTCAAACACACTGCAGCGGACGGTAAGGTATATCAGTGAAGCAGTACGATACGAGCAGGAGTGCTGTTGTACTGAATAGTGAAACATTCCAGTGCTGTCATATGAAACTCCAGCGACGCCTGACCAGTCAAATTAGTTACCAGCACGAATGACAGAATGCATGACACAATACAAGTCCAAGAAGCCTGTATGTTTCCTACATTAGTAGCCTATGCATCATGAAGAAACAAGCGTGGCTTATTTCAAGAGAAAACATTGCTGTTCATGCTGACTGACATAACAAAATATGACTGTGTAAAAAAACATGCACTGAAGTCAACAGTCAGAAGAACCTCCATCATCCAAAGTGTCCCATGAAAATTAACTTTCATAGTGTTTTATCTTTCTGTACAGAACATATTTAAAGAGAAACTCTGTTAGACCACTTTTATTAAATTCTATAGCACATTTTCTGTTAGCTGGGATGGAACCAAATAGGATAAATGTAATACTGAATGTTTTGTTAAAGTTCTGAAAATGTTACTTCTGAATGTTCAAAATGTCCAGTTTATTTAAATGTTTCAAAAACACTGTTTTTGTTGTGCAAACGTTAAAGGAACATTCCAACGTTATGGGAACGTCACTTTTGAATATTTTCGGAATGTTCCGAAATAAACTGTACCTTAAAAAAAACAAAAACAACCTTAGATGAACGTCTAACTAAAATGTTTCAGAAATGTTCTGTGAATGATGTATGAGTACTAATAATTGTGCTAATGTTTTAAGAACAGTATTAAATACCAGATAACACTGAACAACATTACTGGAAGAACGATAGTTCATAACTTTGAGCAAACCTTGCCAGAAAGTTCAGAGAATGTTGCTTGTTAGCTGGAATGCTGTTCTATTTATTATATAATACTTACAATATTTTACAGGCTACTACGATCATGGTTATATTTCCTAAATCTATTTTATTACACTTAAATTACAACTAACAACTGTATACAACGACCTCACAGTGAACAAGAAATGTCTATGACGCAGCATCATAACGACTGTCTGTCTGTTTTACAAAAACTCTTGTATTTTTACAGATGTAACGTTCACAGTATGCACTCAGATTGCCAGCGCAGTAACATTACACTTTACATTCTGCTGTTGCTATTGTCGTTGTCACTTTTACTTATTTTGCTAATGTAAAATTATTCTTGTTTGAGTTTCGGAACTCTGGTGTATATCATAAATCACTGGAATAGTTCACCCAAAAATGAAAAATCTGTCATCAGTTATGAGAGAAGATATTTTGAAGAATGTTGGTAACCAGACAGTTGACGGTAGCCATTAGGGCATTTCGCACCGCTTTAGTTCCAGAACTAAACGTACAGTACTAAAGTACTGGGACGATTTTGCGCCAACTATTTCCCAGTACCATTTAAAGTGTTGCATTCGCACCGAGAGTGTGTACTAAGAAGTGACGTAAGCTGGTCGACAGCGTCGTCATTTGTCTATAGTAGTTTTTCCCCCTATGGAAGTCAACGGCTACCGTCAACTGTCTGGTTACCAACATTCTTCAAAATATCTTCTTTTGTGCTCAACAGAAGACAGAAACTCACACAGGTTTGGAACAACTTGACGGTGAGTAAATGATGACAAAATGTTATTTTGGGGTGAACTGTCCCTTTAAGTTCAGACTTACGACTCAAGTACAGCGTTACACTTACAGATTATAATGGTTTCCAGCCAAACAAACACTGTCAATCAATCACAATACTTTTTTTTTCTTTTACACTATCATTATTTTACATCTATAATAGCGTCTAAATATATATTTTACTTGAATTTTTGTAGAACAGAAATATTTTACTGTAGGAAATTACTGTTAAATCCAGTAAAACTCTTATTGGTAAATTAGTAAAACGTAATGTTTATTCTATTAACATCTTGTTTCTCTCCTGAGCTGTATATGTATATGTATATCTTGCAGATGTTTGTATGTGTTGTTGGTGCTGTGATGAACTGACCTGCGACCGGCGAGGGTTTGCGCAGAACCAGCCAGCGGCTCCTCCACTGCAGACACAGAAACCAAGCACAGCTTTACACGCATTCTCTCTCAAACTCTCAAACACACACATGCGGCGTTTCCATACTTTTCTTCCGTCTCTGAGTTTAACAGCTCCCTCCGCGATCACTGTGTCGCTCATCTTCTCCTCGTGACAGCTGCGCGCGCCCCCGCTGCCTCGAGCACGCGCACAGCATATGTCAGAGGTCAGTCAGAGGTCAGAGGTCAGTGGGTCAAACATAATGAACCCTTACACGCATTGGTGGCCCCTTATGAGGAGAGACGATTTAAATCGGATATTAAAACACACAGACACACACACACACACCCCACCAGGATATATAAACCAGTACACACTCGCGCACACACACACACACTCACACACACACACACACACTCTCTCTCTCTCTCTCTAACTAGCTATAAATAAATAAATAAATAGGCCTATCTGAATGTAATATTCCTTAAGCAACCTAATTGCATTACTACACCTAAAAGGTAATTTCATTTATAATGATCAGATCAGGTACAAATAGTGTCCCTATTATAATTTTGCAAACATTTCTAAGCAATACAAGGGTGCATATCACAAACAAACACACACACAAATACAGAAACAAAAATTCACCCAAAGTGGGGGAAAAAAAGTTAAAGAAAATAAAGCTTTAAAGTAAATCGGTTTTAGGTCTAATAATAGTTTATAACATTATTGTAATGATAACATGTGGTTTCATTATCAAAACAAAACATTAATGATGGAACACTTTGTACTTTGTGTTCTTTTTTTGTACAGTTGAAAGTCAGTTCAAAATTAATTGTTTAAAAATTACCTATAAATACTATACAACGTGAAAAAAAACTGAACAGGATCATTCTCATTACGATATTGCAGTTATGACAATCCAATAGAAATAATCCTTCATAATAATTCAATGACTGAACTACAAGCAAACTCAAACATTTATTACCATTTAAGTAATAAAAACTGTGAGGAAATGCTATGAAAACTATCAAAATAATGAAAAATAATAATATGTGACATGTAATGTCATACATTTTAATTTTGTGTTGAAATATGATAGATATTAAATACATATCCATTATGCATTACTTGGCCATTCCAATGTCAGAAAATAAATTCTTCAAGACAGAGACCTGTTTGAATGAAAGTCAAAGGAATGCACTTAATTAATGTTTATTATAGTGGAATAATTTACTGTTCAAATGATGCTGCTAAACTATGATTTAACAGCAAACTGTTGCATCTGTCTATTCACTTTTAAGGGTTTATGTATAAATCATGACCTTTCCAATACTAGATTCACTCAAACACTGTAAAAAACTCTCTTTTTAATTTTTTAATGCAGATTAAAGACACATTTATTTCACAGCAATCAAAATGTATCAATATGCAAAAAACATAATAATGCTAATAATAATAATAATAACTTTACATAACACTTTCCATTCCAGTGTACATGTCACCATATTGCTTGTTAATATACTGTAAATACAATAGACTCGCAGTAAAACACACGTCCATCAGTATGACTCAGTAACACTGGAATGGAAAGCCTTCATGAATACATTAATAGTAAAGTCACAGTTGTTTTATCTTTGGCATTGACGCCCGATACAAATGTTTATTGTTGTTCTATTCACTGATGCTTTTTGGGATGTTTTTCTGGATTTTTTGATGACGCTGTTGATCCAGTCTGAATATTTGGGCACGAGGGTGTAAACGCCGGGTTTTCCCGAGCGTCCGCATCCGTCTCCCCAGCTGATGATCCCATAGAGGAAACTCACGCCGTCACAGTCGCACACTAACGGACCGCCCGAGTCGCCCTGAACACATCACACACACATCAAACAATCTGTCAGTACAGACAATTCAATTATTTTAAACTAATACTGATGTGTATGGAAGCCTGTTTCCGCCACGGAATAAAAAAAATAAATAAAAAATGTTGCGACTTTTTATTTCACAATTCTGATTTTTTTTCTTCTCAGAATTGCAAGACATAAACTATCAACTGCGAGTTCTAAAGTCAGAATTGCAGAATATAAACTCATAATTTTGAGAAAAAAATGTTGCAATTAACTTTTTTTTGTGTTTTATTCAGTGGCGGAAATCATATAGGTATTAGAGCATTTACTGATATAGAAAATTATATATGAATGCATATATTAATACTAATTATATTAATATTAATCTAAAACAATAAGAATTACATTATATATTATCATTATTATTATTACTGCAGTAATAGTGATATTAGAGTATTTCTTGATAAAGACATTCCATATTATTATATTATTATTATTATTCCATATTATTATATCTTAAGAAAATTTATATTACTCAAAAATAAAAAGTAAAATAATTAGACCTGTGACCAATATATATATATATGATTTACCCAAAACTAATTATATCTCATGTTTAACCACTATAGAGACATCAGAGCCAGCGGTAAACTCCAGAAGATCTGGCCGAGGTGAGGCGCTCTCTCCGCGGGTTCATGAGCGCAGAACGGCCGCTGACGTCCTGGAGCTCACATCTCCGAAAACGTCAAAGCAAATTTTCAAATAGACATTATCTTTATTAACAAACTGCAGCCATGACACTCACTTTGAGAAATACGGCAACTTCGGCAAGCGGAGTGATACAAACGGTGAAACGGCTGTTGGAGTTCTGTTGGACTCTAATATCAACATTCTTATCAGCCAATCAGATTCGAGGACCAGAAAGAACTGTTGTGTGTCTATATATATATATATATATATATGTGTGTGTGTGTGTGTGTGTGTGTTAATATTAGTCTAAAATGTTTTAAAATTAAAATTAATTTTAAAATTAATTTAAAATTAAAATTCATTCAAATTAATTAAAGAATATTTGATATTCCTATTCATATGTTTTTTAATTTATGCTAAAAATATGAATATTAGTAATAATATAAATATGTATAAATGTATAAGATAATATAAAATTATTATCATATACAATCTTATTATACAATATTATCATATTGTATATTGTCATATACAATCCAAATCTGCAATCCAATAAACTTAATAAAAATAACATGACAAATGGTGTTTGGTGTTGTTTTGGCGTCTGACCTGACAGGCGTCCACACAGGACTCACTTCCCGCACACAGCATCCCCGACCTGACCTCTGACCCGTAGACGTCTGGAGACGAGCACTGATCGAACGGGATGATCTTCACCACTCCCTCCATCAGGTGAGAGTACGAGTTTGCCTCTAAACACACACACACACACACACACACACAGCTCTGCTTCACCATTGTGGATTCATTTCTGATCTTCATTTAGTCATGTTGGCTTAACTGAGCCAATATACTGAAATCCATTTAAAGGGTTAGTTCACCCAAAAATGAAAATTCTGTAATTAATTACTGACCCTCATGTCGTTCCAAACCTGTAAGACATTCATCTTCTGAACACAGATTAAGATATTTTTGATGAAATCCGAGTTCTCTGACCCTTCCATAGACAGCAATGTAATTACCACGATCAAGGTCCAGAAACGTAGCAAGAACTTTGGTAAAATAGTCCATGTGACATCAGTGGTTCAACCGTAATTTTACGAATCTACGAGAATACTTTTTGTGAGCAAAATAACAACAACAATTTGTCTCTTCTGCGTCACCCTGGCGACATTTTGGAGAATATCCACTGACCGTAAACAGCTTATACTATTCTGTATTTGTTTTAGTGACAGAAGCTCCACAGTGCAACAGAATGACAGTGACAAGACAGGACATAGATAATAAAAAGAATAATATACAAATATGCAAAATAGACAATGTACAAAATAGCAAAAACACAATATATAATATAGACTGATATTGTCTACATTGTTTGCGCTTTGATCTGAAAGTAAACCATGTATACGCGTGATGCAGCTGACATAGAACAGCATACGCTGTTTACGTTCAGTGGATACTCTCCAAAATGTCGCTATATGGTGACGCGGAGGAGACGAATTGTTGAATAAAGTCGTTGTTTATTTTTTCTTTTGCGCACAAAAAGTATTCTCGTAACTTCGTAAAATTAAAATGCTAGTAATGTGCCAATATGGTAGAAACATGCTAACAATGTGTTAATTCATGTAAACATGTCAAATCATGCAAAAATATGCAAGCAACATGCTAAATCATGCTAGCAACAAGCTAAAACATATTAGCAACATTTTAAAACATGTTAACAACATGATAATCCATGCTAAAACAGGCTAACAACATGATAAATCATGTTAGCAATGTGCTAAATCATGCTAGCAACATGCAAAACATGCTAGCAATGTGTTAAATCATGCTAGCAACTTGTAAAATAATGTTAACAACAGGCTAAACATGTTAGTAATGTGCTAAATCATGCTAGCAAAATGCTAAAACATGCTATCAACATGTTAAATCATGCTAGCAACATGCTAAAACATGTTAGCAACTTGCATAAAATTTTAGCAATGCAGTAGATCAAATCTTCAAACTTCAAGCTTTTCAAAGATATTACAACTTTCAAACAAGGCTTTGTCAAGCCAACATAAAAGTTTGTTTACGATCTTTACTTATCTAGTTTAACTTGTACTGAAATAACTAGAACTAAAACTGAAATAGAAAATAAAAACTATATAGACATTTAAAAACATGACTAATAAAATGACAAACAACAAAATCACTAAAATCAAGTAAAATTCAAATGAAAATAGAACAAAAAATAGAAATACTATTTTGAGTAATTTTGAGTAAAATACATATTTTACTCAAAATATGAGTAAAAACCAGTGCTTGAAGTGGAAAATTCACCCACCCAAAAATAAATAAATACGAACTAAAGTACTAAAAAAGTACTTTTTTTATTTTTATAATTCGCAATGAATGCATATAGTGTCACAATAAATACATAAATGTTTGCAATTCAATTCACATTTATTTGTATAGCGCTTTTTATGATACACATCGTTGCAAAGCAGCTTCACAAAAAACATTTACAGTAGCAGTTTGCAGCACTTTTAATAAAAATGTTGCACAAGTCAAGCTGTGATACCAAACAGGACCACAGGGAGACACCAAAAGACCACTAAACGAGCTACCTTGACCTGACTGATCCATGCAGAATTACTAAACCACTGACTACTGCGTGATCTTAAACACCTTCAGCCAGCATCCAGTATAAAACACTCACACTTACTGTTTGAATGCATTCTCTTACTGGATCCTTGGTACACTTCAAGCACTGGTAAAAGCTATAACAGTATCTCAGTGATAGTAAAGCAGCACTGGTGCAGAGTTAGTGACGGTGAACTCACTCTCGTGCATGTGACCCCAGCCTGAGATCTTACAGCAGGAGTGATCGGGGAACGTCATGTGTTTCCCCGGCAGACAGATGGGCCTGATGAAGGGCGTTTTCAGAGCGCAGCGTCCGTCAACCTTCTTCAGCTTCACTAAAGCTGCAAAAACAGCTGCTATTACACACAAGATTATCACACACACACGCTTACTCGCCCCATAGCAATGCTTAGCACAGGTGAGAGACACTCTCTGTTTTTATCTATTGCAAAATACAGAAACTGAGTTTAATTTATGTGCTTTTGGAGACAGAGATCAGGGAACAATGCTTTTTAATCAGCACAAGCGCTGGTGCTCAGCATGTTGAAGCGTGTCTGATACACACTGTGTGTGTGTGTGTGTGTGTTTTACATACATTTCCTGAGAAGCTTGAAAAGCACATTTTTCACATAATGTGTTGTCTTTGTTTAATCGCCCATGTTGCAGACGCCCACATCTGAACACACATGGGACTTTTAACGAATAAAGTACAAAACAGGGTCTGAAACTCCAGAAACAATTTACAGTAATAAGAATGAAGACCAATGAATGTTCATTGAAACACAATTTTATATGAGCTGTTTAGCTTTTTTTATTTCTTGTTTATATATATATATGTATATATATATATATGCAACCCTGTTACTAAAAGTATGTTTAAAAGGTGAATTAGTGTCGTGTTGCAATTTACTAGCAATAAACATAACATCAACTTTAAAATTAATTGACAGTAATTTTTAAATAAATATTGTAAATAAATTTAATATAAATAATTATAAATAAATAAATAAATAATTATATATATATATGTATATTGAACTAAAACTGTAAAGGTTAACTCAAAATAAAATATATAAAAAAATGTCATTCAGTTTAAGTTGAAGTACTAAAATAACTAAAAGTAAATAAACTAAAACTAATTGATAATATAAATAAATACTATATTGACATTAGAAAACAAAAACTAATCAAAAGGACAAAAAATGAAAAACAAAAAAATGAACAAAAACTACAAGTGTGTGTATGCATATACATTATATATATATATATAATAGAAAAGCCCTGTTTTTAGTTTAACGCACTAGCTGTAAACACACGCGCACAGATATGCAAGTTTGTAAGTGAATAATGATGGTAAAGTTTCTGTATTTAGAGTCCAAACTCACCGATATCGTTTAAGGTCGGCTCAAACTGTGTGTAACGCGGGTTTAAAATATAATCCTGAACAGCAAAGTTCCTGGTGTTGGGACCGGTGTCGTTAAAGGAGTGCTGGCTGAGAACGACCCGAATCTGTGACTTTAATGGACTGAGAGAGAGAAAGTGTGTATGGAGTTAGAATGAAGCTGTAACTCTATAGAAATGCATGAAGTGCACACACAGACACATACTTGCGCAGGAAGCAGTGAGCGGCCGACACGATCCAGCAGGAGGAGACCAGCGTTCCTGCACAAAACTCGTCTGCGATGTACAGCGCTGCCATCCAGGGGTGAGCACCGGGTAATGCAGACGTCCCGCCCAGGATTCGACCCCGACTGATCCGCTTCTCCTGCCGCTTCCCACACGCCGGGGTCCTGACAGAACTGCGGGAGGGCCCCGGGGCCACGGCGACGATGGGACCTCTGCGGCCCGCTGACAGAAACAACAGAGACTGTGTTTAATGAAAATAATCTGAATACACCTGACTGTAGGATACTGAATATTCTATCGCTTAAAACAAATGCACAAAACGTATAGTACAGTTGTTTTAGCTGTATGCAATAACTAAAAAAAACTGCAATAACAAAAACTAAATAACAATTAAATAATTAATATATGTCACTGTTCATTTACCAGTTTTCCTAAAGTAAATGGACCAGGACAGTAAATATTGGTGTTCATTATAGTAGGGGGTTTAAAAGATCTGGGGACCCTCAGTAAATAAATAAATAAAAAATAGATTTGATCAATATAAATAAAATTTAATTAAATAAATAATTAAAACAAATAAACAAAAATAATAAATAAATAACAAATAAACATTAGATTAAATAAAATAAATAAAATAATTAGATCAAAATAAATACACAAAACATAATTAAAATACATAAGTACTGAATGAATGGATATTAAATAAATAAATACATGTTTAAAATAAAAAGTAAATAAATAAAGTATGATAACAAATCTATAGGAAAACTCCTGTGCTTTAGTATTTGTTATTGCTAACACTAGAGTTAAGAGACGTTGATTGCATTTATTTGATCAAAAATGCAGCAAAAATTGTGAAATATTATTACAAATATTATTCTATGTGAATATGTAGTAAAATGTGATTTGTAAATTGAATTTTCAGCACTATTACTCCAGTCTTCTCTCTACAAATCATTATAATATGCTGATTTGCTGCTCAAGAAACATCTCTGATTATTATCAATGTTGAAAACAGTTAATATTTTTTGTGGAAACTGTGATTCATGTTATTTTTCAGGATTCACAGATGAATGGAAAGTTCAAAAGAACAGCATTTATTTGAAACAGAAATATTCTGCAACATTATAAATGTCTTTACTGTCGCTCTTGATCAATTCAATGCAAGTTTGTTGAATGAAATATATTAATTTTACGTTTATGTACACTAGATGTATAAAGAGTGACGGTGAGAACAGCCTGCTTGAACACGCCTGTCGCGGATCATGAGCGTCTCTGAACACCGTTAATAAAAAAACTGCATAACATACTCATGGCGTTCCAGGCTCATGATCACAAACACTAATAACCAATAAAATCTAGCGCTTCAGGCGACGCTGGGTGAGATTTTCCCTTCCCACACCTGAGAAAGTCCGTGGGATTTCTAGAGAAGTTTTTAGGAAAGGTTATCTTTGATTCTTGTTTACTGCTGTTGTGAGTCATGAGAAGCTCAGGATCTGGTTTGGAGCAGGGCTTGATGTCGCAGTACTCCCACGAAACGGCTCTCTCCGTCATCGTGTAACACCACGGCAGCTTATCTTGATCAGGATTCCTGCCAAATCAAGGAAACATCTCAGACAGCACAAGATCACAGTCACACATAATACTGATATTAAACAGCAGATCTGCTCAGTTCAATCCGGTACATGTTTCTGATTGATGTCTGTTTTGCTAGAGAAAGTCACGCTTTCTTACAAAATATGTGCATTTCAGAGCATTTTTGCTTTGTAATGTGAAGAAGTCCTGCATTCTCCCTCAAACAGCAGAAAAGCACCACAAACACATGATTCCTGTCTGAATCTGAGCGGAAATATGAGTTTCCCTTTCGATAATACACTCGTACTGCGTCTGCTAGACGCTATGGGAAAAAGTCATTTTTTCTCCAGAACTGAAGCCTTTTTCAATCACGCAGTGAAACTGCACGGCCATTGGTTCGTGCAGTGTGTTTTAAAAACAAACCTATGGCAGCGAAGCCCGCCAAAGCCCGCCAGAATGGGCGGAGTCATCTGGATATATAAGCGGCTGCTTCGCCATAGGATTCAGATTTCTTCATCCTTCAGCGGCAACGACGTTCTTCGCATCTCCACTGACTGAAGAGCCTGCTCTCCGTTGACACGCCTTGCAGCGGAACGACTCTGCCCGGCTGATCCAGCGCCTTCGCCGCCTTCAGCACGAGCAGCAGCAGTCCGGGTCCCCTGCCGCCATCCGGCGAGATAGAAGAGCAAATTTCTAAAGAGCAAATTTCTAAAGAGCAAATTTCTCGGCGTTGTTACAAATGCCGCGCCGTTACTGCGGTACGTGCAGGGCCCCCTTGCACGCCGATGGCGGCCATCGTGAGTGCGTTTTCTGCTTGGGGAAATCCCATGCGGAATCCGCGCTCACCGAGACGAATTGCTCCCACTGTGAGAGCATGAGTCTCGCCTCTCTGCGCTCGTGGATAGCTTCCTTTACTGCAAGCGAACCCGCCCCTCGTGCCCTCCCGTTTTCTTCCTCCCAGGAACCTGTGATGAAAAAACAATGGGGCAGAGGATCTCAGCGCTCGGATGCGAGCGAGCTTACGTCGGCTCAGGTCCCGAGTACCTCGCTCTCTACACACAGAGAGGCTTCCCCCGTCCTCTTCACCCAGACAGACCAGCGTCCCTCTGCCAGCGCTAGTGATCTGGTCTCGTTTGGTGGGAGTGACGGAGAGCTGCAGGATGACAGCCTATCATTAGCAGCCTCGGACGCGGAGGAGCTGTCGGGCTCGATTGCTGACCCCGCCCCCCTGCCGCCAACCGAGCCCAGCGACGCTTAACCCGGGACGGACACCAAATTACTCCGTGTCCTCTCCAAAGCCAGGAGGACCAGGAGTTGAATTTATTCTGCCCAATTAGGGCTCTGAAGGTCTACATCGAGCGTTCCGCCCAATTTAGGCAGTCGGAACAACTCTTTGTTTGCTTCGGTGGCCGCGCTAAAGGACACCCAGTCACGAAGCAGAGACTTTCTAAGTGGATAATCAGCGCTAATTTGCTAGCCTACTCTTCCCTGGGCCTGCAATCCCAGTTGGTGTACGAGCCCACTCAACTAGAGGCATTGCCTCTTCGTGGGTGTGGTTTAGCCCCGTGACCATTGCAGAAATGTGTGCGGCGGCCGGCTGGGCCTCGCCGTCCACTTTTGCTAGGTTCTATAACCTGGATGTCCCTGCCTTGCAGGCTAGGGTTCTTTCTGCTTAGATGGTGCACAGTTCGCTCTGAGTGCAGTTTGGATGTAATATGCCTTCACGAGGCAAGCCTGTTCAGCCTGGAGGAATTTATTGTTCTTGTTTCTTGGGCCCTGAGGTGCTTAGGATAAGAATTATCTTGGTCGTTCCTCTTGGCCGTGCAGTTTTACTGCGTGATTGAAAAAGGCTTTAGTTCAGGAGAAAAAATGACTTTTTCCCATAGCGTCTAGCAGACGCAGTACTCGTTCCCGTATCTCAGGGAACCGAGGTTACGTTTGTAACCGAGTACGATTTGTTCACTTCTCAGCCCATTTTCACATGTATGAATGATTCTGAAGACATTAGAATCAATCAACCTCTGCATTTATCAAAATAAAGTAGCTGAATAGTAAAAGTTTTGGTTTTAATGACAAAAAGAAGTCTTCAAAATGTCGAAATAAACTTACAATCTGCAAAAGAGTGGAAATCAGGATTCTAATGTCTTCAGAATCATTCATACATGTGAAAATGGGATGAGAAGTGAACAAATACTCATATTTCTGCTCATATTCAGACAGGAATCATGTGTTTGTGGTGCTTTTCTGCTGTTTGAGGGAGAATGCAGGACTTCTTCACATTACAAAGCAAAAATGCTCTGAAATGCACATATTTTGTGAGAAAGCGTGACTTTCTCTAGCAAAACAGACATGATTTATTTATTCAGCTATTTTACTTATTTCTCATTTTCATTTAATAAAACTACAATAAAACTGAAATTGACATAGATATAACAAAATTAATTAACCTTTAACTACAATTAAAAAGGTTACACTTTATTTTAAGTTGTCATTGTTACAGTTTAAGTACTGAGTAATATTAATGAACTACATGTACTTACTATATGGTTAGGGTTAAAATAAGGGTTTGGCTTAGGCTTACTTGCATGCAATTATGCATAATTAGTTGTTATTATAATAGTAAGTACATGTAACGTGTAACAAGGACACCTTAAAATAAAGTGTTACCTCTAAAAATAAAAACTAATTCAAAATATTAGGAAAAACTAAACTAACGCGGGTTGTTGCGTGTGATCTTCTGCTCTCTAGATGCATCTATGGGATGTTTTCACCTGTTTTATTGAGTGGAAATGGTATGTCTGATTGCTTAGAGAAGTAAGAGCTGTTCTCCTTCAGCCCTGCGTTACAGTAAGAGCGTGACCTGCAGAAGGCGTGTTCCCCGAGACCCCTGCGGGCGGCGCTGTGCACCGTTTCCACCGTCAGCTCTGTGAACAGCAGATCTGAGTTCCACGGCAGACAAGAGGAGCCCGAGACCGTGATGTTCACCACACCGCGGTACAGAGCGCCTGAGTCACCGTAACACTGCTCTCCTGGCTCTGACGACACACACGCACACACACGCACACACACATACTCACACGCACACACACACACACACACACACACTCACACACACACACACACTCACACACACACACACACTCACACACACACACACACTCACACACACACACACACTCACACACACACACACACTCACACACACACACACACTCACACACACACACACACTCACACACAGGGAGAGATTATGAGGCTTTCTTTCTTTCTTTCTTTCTTTCTTTAGTTAAAGAAAATATACATTTTTAAATGAGTACAAGCCATTTTAATTTTTACCAATATTTTAACTATACTTACAAATATTGAACTATTTGAAATAATTATATAGAAAAATGCAAACCTCCTATAAAATGAATGGGGGATACAAAAACTCATATAATATGAGGGAGGTAATTATCAGTTTCTGAAAGGTATAGATTTGCATTTAAAAGATGAAAGATTAAAAATACTTTCAGGCCCTGCTTGTGTGTGTGTGTATGTTTGTGTGTGTGTGTGTGTGAGTGTGAGTGTGTGTGTGTGTGTGATGTACATCCACACACCTCTTCACCAGTGGCTTCAATCATCCTACAAACTCCATCATTTTCACAGCGATTCCTCGAACACGCTAAACCTACACACACACACACACAGAGAAGAATGTTCAGCAGGAATACAGCAGTAGCTGCTGTGGCCTGTAGCATGAAGCCGGTTTCAGTTTTTAGCCAGGTAAGTTCACATTTAGTTTGAGCAAACTGCATATATCAGATGCAATGAAGCCACTCCCCCTTATCTCTCACTCCAAATTAAAGCAGTTTAGAGTAGAAGAATTTCAGAGACAAAATTGCCTGAATTTTAGAGACAAAATTGTCTTTTGCTGCTAATTATTTTTTATACTCATATCATATGAATTATAATAATATAAAATATTTAAAAATATATTATATGAGCTGGCAATTAATATTAAATTTGCATTTGAATTAATTTAAATATATATATATTGCCTATAAATAAGTTTCAATATATAAAGCTTTTAAAATAACTAAACATTTCTTTTGAGCTCTGTGTGAAACTATATAAACTTAAATTCAGCTCATTATTTTGCATAGTCAGATATTTTCTTTCTGCTGCCTTCTCAAACGTTTGCTGCAGCAGCAGTGTTTATTCCTGCCTTGTAAATGCATTTAAATGAATTATATTTTTAATAACGACATCTCTTAATTTTTAACAGAGAAGTGAACTGCGCTGACTCTCGCGAGAAGTAAATCAAGCTGACGCTTTCCATGTTTCGTGTGATTGGCTGTTTGCTGCACGTGTCACACTTCCAGTTAATCACAAACTCTGGATCAACCCTGTCAGAGCACGTTTATATTGAGCTTTGTGAGCCCACTGATCCTGAACGAAACCAGGTTTGATTAGTTTGGTTTTGACAACTCTAAACCTACCCTGAAACTCAGAGTTTGTTAATCTCGCTTCGTGCTACAGGCCACAGGTGATCAGGTGTCAGTTGTTTATTTACCCGTGTAACGCGCACGCTCGCAGCTCACTCTTCCGCTGAGGCACGCGCACAGCTCTACGGAGCGCAGGTAGATCCGTCCCCACGAGTCTCCGAAGTCATAGTACTTCAGATGCAGCGGCTCGTAGCACTTCTCTACAAAACAAACCACAGAAGCGAACCCGAGCATCAGAACACACCCTCCCGGCTCTCCCATTCGTCAGAACTCGACCGATATCAGATGACAGACAACATGAAGACACGAAACCTTCACGGATCACAGGACATGTGATAGCGTTAAAGATGAGAGACTTCAAAACATAAAAGAGAGCGACGCATGAATGGAGACCAACATGTGATTCTGTGCTAGAAAAATGAAGCCTACATGTGAACAGATCCAACACTACTATCGTTAATTAAGCTATTATCATTACTGCAGGCTATAATATTCATATTACTAACCAAAAAATAACTTCGATGGAACTATAATTCATTATTTCAGAATAAAAAAAGATAGACAGACAGACAGACAGATAGATAGATAGATAGACAGACAGATAGATAGACAGATAGATAGATAGAACAATAGATAGATAGATAGATAGATAGATAGATAGATAGATAGATAGTTAGAACAATAGATAGATAGATAGATAGA